CTTACTTATTATTGCTGTACAATTGCACCTAGTGGACCTGTGATGATTTGTGGGGGAACCCTCTCCCCTTAACCCCACACTCTTCCTAAAACATGCATGAACGCTACTAGCAGTAGGCATTGAACACATGTACTCCCAGGCTTCTGGCCAGAGCACCAGTCAAGGAAAAGGTTACAGTAGATGCTGGAACCTCATGTTAACCTAGCCCATTTGCCTGGGTTTCAGCAAGGATGACCAGTTCCCATGTCTTTCATTCCATTTGCCACTGAGGCATATATCATGCCCTGAACTTTTCTGTTGTTGTTGTATTCCTAATGTCTTCACGCTCATCATCCCCCTGGGTGTCAAAGCCCACAGCATATTCCCTGTCTTCACCAGCCTTTAGTGCGATAATGCCATTAATGAACCTCCCTTCCAGAATCAGCCCAGGTCCTATTGTTGCCCGCTATTTGGAATTCCCAGTGGCCTTACACTGCCTCTTGAATTGGATGTCTAAGTTTTGATTTTAAGCAGAATCAGGCTCCAGGGTGCCATTCAACTGGAACACCATGTCTTAACACTGGTATGATGGACCTTATAATTGGGTCAGTGCTGATATTCATCCTATATTCTAAAGATGATATTAAGTCAATTCCTCCGAGCAACTCCATATAAGGTCTCTGAGACGGTCCATGTTCATGGGGGGATGTCGCTTCACCTTTGGCCCAGAGAGCAGTTGGTAAGTTGAATGATCTTGCAGTCCCTGGAGAAGGGGACCCATGTTTGATAAAGTAGAGAGGTGGTGAAAAAGAGGAGAGTCATTGACAAGATGGATTGACACAGTGGCTTCGTCAAGGGACTCAGCCATACGAATAATTGAGAGGATGGTGCAGGACCACGCAGTGTTTGTTGTGTTGCGCAAAGGGTCGCTATGGGTTGGGGCTGACTTAATAGCACCTAACAACAAGAACAACGATTGTACAACTCTTCTTGAGAAGATTTAACTTGATAAGATAGTACATTTTGGTATATATATTATGTGCCAATAAAACTAGTTTTTAAAAATTGAACTATAAATAAATATTTGTTCCTAATCTCATTCATTCCGCTTTCCATTTCTTCATTTCTATTACTCTGTTTTAAAAAGTGTTGTCGTCTTAATTTTCATCTTGATTTATTTTGTTGTTGTTGTTAGGTTTCTAGTTTTCCTTCCTCTTCCTCTTTTCCTTGTTTCCCCTCTGGCTCTCTCAATCTGTCCCCATTGGAAATATCTGGCCATCAATTTTCAGATTTATTTTATTGGTAGTTTTAAAGCCTTTTCTTCAGAAAATTTCTTTGGATCTATGTATTAGTAACTTGTTTGTGTCTATTTTTCTTGATTTTTTTATGTGGACTTATAATGATTGCTGTCTCCATGGCATTACCTTGCAGCTGTAGGAGGTAGGCTAAGCATGCAGGGATCATTGATGCTATCAAATAGTGCAACAGGGGAACAATAGAAACCCCAAACAAAAAGGAGTAGAAAGGAGAAGAGAGGGGGGAAAAAGCCAAAGTAAGTAGAAGAAGGAAAAGAAAACCAAACAGTCAAAAAACAACAAGTTATTAACGAAACAGGCCTAGGATAAGTGAAGATGATATGGGTGAGGGCAGAGATGACTTAGCAAAGATGGGCCTGGAATCTTGTGGAACATGGTGGCGTGGGTGCCCATGGGCTGGTGTGGTGTGGTGTCATGTTTGCATGGGGCCAGGGTACAAAGCATCATGGGCCTGCCTGGAGCTGTGGGCTGTGGGGGGTGTGGGTCTGCAGGTTAGCAGGGTCTGGCATTTGCTGACATTATGGGGTGACTTGTTTTGAGAGGTGCCTGGAGAGAGGGTAGTAGAGAGAAGGTGGTGACCTAATGAGGGCACAGGGTGCCTTGTGAGCATGTCTGCTCCCTTGTCCCTTTTCATTGCCCAGAGTCTCCCAAATTAGCTCCCAAGTTGGTTGTCAAGGCTTCCAGGAATGTATTTTTTCAATTTATGTTGATTTTATCCTGATTGTTCTAGAGGGAACTTCCTGTGGGTGCTTCTAAGCAGACATCTTACATCCTTGACAAATGACCACATAAATAAATAAATGAGGAAGATAAGGTCTCTTTACCACATGATGCTGGCAAAATGAATCCAATTCAAACCTTACCGAACATAGAAAAATGAGCTCAAAGTGGATCAAAGACCTAAATGTAAATCCCAAAGCTATAAGATTATTAATGAGAAAATTGGGACAAACTTAAAGGCAAAAAAGATAACTGAGACCTACTTAAACCATGCTTGTGTGCATCAAAAGACTATCAAAAGAGTAAAAAAAGAACTCATAGGAGGAGGGGGGTGGGATGGGTATTGGAAATGACACAACAAGATTCATCTCAAAAGTCTATAGAGAACTGTGACACCTCAATAGAAAAATAAATGAAAACAAATGATCAACATCTCAAATGCAAATGAGAAGATAAAGAGGGGAAAGGAGGTAGATTAATCAAAACTCAACAAACAGAA